TTTTTTTTTCCGAAACGACAGATTTTATAGCTCAAAAAGATTGTACAACGTTCGAGGCCACATAGCCCAATACAGCCCAAAAGGAAATAAGAAGACTAGAAACAGTCTTAAATAAAGGAGTTTAGAGCAAACTCTCGGCTAAGGCAAAGCTAAGGATCCGAGAGCAGACATCCAACCCAAGAAGTGGCAACTATAAGCCTTCAAAATTAACTTACCACTGTACCCCCAGGGACCTAGTAAGTTAACAAAACCTACTCAAAAGAAGCCTAAACTAACAGCAGAAAAGCACTAAGAACAGACAAAAAGCACTACAAGTTTGCAGAGAATAACTGCCAATTCTCTAGGGCCAGCTTCACTGTATCTCTTTCCGATCTTAATGCTTGCTTGAAAACCCAAAGATTCCGGGTTTTCCAGATCCACCATAAAAGGTAGCACGAGAAATGGATTCTGTCATCCAGCCCTGGTTTGCTTGGGATCGTGCACAGGGCACTCCACCATGTTCTGAAGGTATGAGTGTGGGCTTTAAGGCCATCCCAGGATACTGGTGACATCTTCCATATTCTAACGGCTCTTGGACAGTGGAAGAACATGTGTTCCTGGGATTCCTCTTCCTCTCCGCAAAACTTACATATCTGGTCCAAGTTCAGCACTCTTCCTTTAAGATTCACCAATACAGGAAGAATGTTTTGAGTCCCTTTCCATATAAAATGTTTCACTTTCCCTTGTAGCTTCAGGTTCCAGGTTCTTCTTCTGATTCTTTTTTGCTCTACCTGATGCACACTTGACCCTGCTACATCCATTATCCTCCACTTTCTTTCAATCAGAGCTGAGTAAGTAGATGCAACAGTATGTTTCCCAGCATTATTCCAAGCCCAGGTTAACTTGTCTTTCTCGTGTGGGTTCAAGCCGGAAATTGCCAATATTGCGGTTGCTTCTTCTACTTCAAAGCTTTCCTCTATCAGTGCTCTGTTCCATCTCCAGCATGTATCGTCAATGAGGTCCTTGACCCATATGAGATCATTGTTCCTTGGATATTTACCAGCTGGTATGAATCCTTTTAGTTTTGGGACCCAAGGCATTTCCCAAATTTTCACTGATGTGTCATCTTTAATTTGGTATAAAAGGCCATTTTTGAAGCCCTCCAATTGTTTCCACCAGGTGGCCCAAAGCCAAGAGCTATTTTGCTTGTGTTTTGCAGTAAGGAGGTTATCCTTTTGGAAGTATCTCCCCTTGAGAATTTGACTCACTAGGAGATGTGGCTGATTCATTATCCTCCATAGTTGCTTGTAAATTAAGGCCTTGTTGAATGTATGGAGATCATGAAAACCAAGCCCTCCTAACTCCTTGGGTAAAGTGATGTGCTTCCATTGCTTCCAGTGAATCCCCCTGTGCCCTTCTTTTTTAGAGTCCCACCAGAATTTAGCAAATTCAGAGGATAATCTTTTTGTGACTGACAGCGGCAGTAGGAAGCAAGACATAGTGTAAGTAGGCAAGGCTCCCAAGACTGATTTCAAGAGCACTTCCTTACCTGCAAGAGTTAAGAACTTGTTCTTCCAGTTGCAAATCTTTTGCTTCACAGAATTCTCAACAAAAGAAAATGTATCATTTTTAGAAATTCCAATACCAAGAGGCAATCCAAGGTATTTTGAGGAGGTTTGGGGAGTGATTCCAAGCAAGGTCTGACAAATTTGGTTTTGGAGATTTTGAGGGGTGTTTTTACTGAAGAAGATGGATGATTTGCTGAGGTTAACCTTTTGGCCTGAAATGTTTTGGTATTTTTGGAGGATGTGGAGAAGAGTGCTGGCTTGATTAGGCTCTGCTTTGAGGAATAAGAGAGTGTCATCGGCAAAAAATAAATGGGTGAGTGTGGGGCATTTCTTGGAAAGCTTTATACCTTTCAAATTACCTGCATTCAGCTCAGTGGTAATCAGATGGGTTAATATTTCAGATATTATAATAAATAGGTAGGGTGATAGCGGATCACCCTGCCTAATGCCCCTTGAGGGTTTTAAATAACCCACTGTTTCACCATTTAGGTTAAAGGAAAATGAAGAGGTAGAAATACATTGCATAATCCACAACACAAATTTAGAATTAAAGCCCAAATTCATCAACATAAACCTGATGCAGTCCCATTCGACCCTATCAAAGGCTTTACACATATCAAGCTTAATGGCCATAAAGAAATTCCTACCAGTTCTATGATTTTTCAGAAAGTGGATGACCTCATTAGCTATTATCACATTATCAGTGATTTGTCTGTTGAGAACAAAGGCTGACTGGTTAGGACTAATGCAAAGGGGCAAGCAAGGTCTAAGTCTGTTGGCAAGAATTTTAGAAATGACTTTGTACACAACATTGCACAGACTAATTGGTCTGTACTGAGACACCATGGTGGGATTATTGCATTTTGGGATAAGAGTGATTACAGATTGATTGATACTTTTCAGAATGAGACCAGATTCAAAGAAACTGAGTACTGCATTACACAAGTCATGTTCAACTAGAGGCCAAAAGAAATGAAAGAAGGTAGATGTCATACCATCTGGTCCCGGAGCTTTAAAGGGGTTTATGCTGTGAAGGGCTCCCTGGATTTCCTCCTTGCTCACTGGTGCCATTAATTCTGCATTCAAGTCATCTGAGATTACAGTACTGATCCCATGTAAGCTTCTATCTCCCTCGTTTGTCCGTTCTGAAGAAAAAAGTGTGGCAAAATAGTCTTCTATGCAGTGTGAAAGATCATCCTTGCTCTGACATACTGAGGAATCATCCCTGATGAGTTTGAGAATTTGATTCCTCTTTCTTCTTTGCATAGTTTGAGCGTGGAAAAATCTGGTGTTTTTGTCCCCATTTTTCAGCCAATTTATCCGAGATTTTTGCACCCAATATTTCTCTTCAGATTCATATGCTGCATCCAACTCCCTGTTGAGCTCATCCCACAGTTGCCAGTTCCTGAGCCCTCCCTCGGCTCTAAGAATACTGAGTTGTCTACTGCAGCTCTCTATTTTTTGTGCATTCTCTGATTTGAAGGAGCTGCTCCATTTGAGCAGCTCTATTCTAGTAGCTTTGATCTTGGAGGTCAAGCAAAACATTGGAGTTCCTGTCTGGGGCATGCTCCAGGCTGCTGAGACAACTTCAGCAATTCCTTTTCTCTCAGTCCACCTTTTATCAAAACAGAACCTTTTGGATTTATGCTGAGATTCTGGCTTGCTATTAAGAAGAATGAGGCTGTGATCTGAAGCACTCCTGTATATGTTGTGCAGCTGAGCCTTTGGATACAGGTTGTGCCAGCCAAATGAGGCAAAGAATCTGTCCAAGTGTTCTTCAATAAAGCCTTCTCCTTGTCTGTTGTTACCCCATGTGTAAGGGTAACCAGTCATATTGACCTCAAGCATAGTCATATTACTAATAAACCTGTTAAAATCATCACAAGACTGTTGAGTTCTAGGTCTGCCTCCTCTCTTGTCTTCTGGCTTGGTCAGGTCATTAAAGTCTCCAGTCAAAAACCAGTTGTTTCCCCACATAGCCTTCCTGGAGTTCAGATAATCCCATTGCAAAGCTCTTTCTTTCTGATCAGTACTTGCATAAACAAATATTCCCCAACTTGTGACCTCTGCAGCTTCATCCCAAAACTCAATTTCAATGCAGAATGTGTGCTTTTCAATAGCAAAGATCTGGATAGAAGGGTCCCAAAACAACAAAAGCCCTCCACTTCTACCCCTAGGCTCCACTGAAGCCCAGCTATCACTCACACCTATATTCTTACATACTGTACAAATAAAGGGATTTTTCTTTTTTGTTTCAGATAAAAAAACAAAATGGGGGTGGTGGAGTCTCCATACCTCCTTGATCTGGGGAACTGTTGAGGGGCCACCCGCTCCTCGACAGTTCCACACCGCAACTCTCATTGGGGGTTTTGGGGCCATTTAGGGCTGGCCGCCGGCACCACTTCGCCTGCTATTTTGATCTTTTTCAAAGGGGTTGATTCATAAGCTGGAGGGATTTCACCCCTCTCCTCTTGCTGACTATTGGTTTCTAGCTGCCTTTTGCCTCTGTTGGGAGGATTGTTAGGAGTATTGCCCTCCCTGTTGCCTTTCTGAACTATCCTTTTCCATTTCCTCTCAATTTCTTGTTTTGCCTCTGGATTGGGAATGGTTATTTGGTGTTTTGAGGAGGTGGAAGCAGGGATAGAGGGTTTATGATCTGGGGTGTTGGTGACTGAGGGAAGGCGATGATCGGGGTGCTCTTTAACCTCCACTTCCATCAATTGCAAATTTTCGGAAGGTTCTGTTGTGGTGTTTTGGATAGGAATTTTTTCGGTAAGAATTGGTTGGGACTTGGGTTCTGCTATGGTTATGGGTTTTTTGGAATGTTTTTGATTGACGGGTACATTTGAGGACTTGGGCATTTCTGTATCTGGGTTTGGCATTTCTATCTCTGGAATTTCTGGGAAAATGATGTTACTTAGTTTACTTTGATTAAGAGAGGATTGGTGTTGCAGTGTTGGGATATTGGGTGCAGAGGGATTGGAATAGGTGGGGAGAGGTGTTGGTGGATTGTTAATTGATGGATATATTATATCAGCTGCTTTCAACCAATCTCCGTAAAGGCCTTCTCTCAGATTATTCTGCGCAATGTCTGAGAGTCTCTTTTCACAAGTCTTGTCTGTATGACCCATGAATCCACAATAAAAGCACGAGTTCACTAATCTCTCGTATTTGAAATGAATTTTGCATATAGTCTCCCCCAGTTGTATATTAGTGCATCGAAGCAGGGGTTGATTAACATCAATGGCAGCGAGAATCCTCACACATTTGCCTGCTAGGGGCCCGCTATGGGGAACATTGACATCCAAGATTCTGTTAAAAGCTTTACCAATCTTCATACCGACTTCCGAAGATATCCAGTGCAGGGGTAGGTTCCAAGCTTGCACCCACATCTCCACTTCATCAAAGCAGGGATGCTCCGCCTTAATGCCTGTCTCCCATTCTCTGAGAATAATGAGCTGATTTTCAAATGTCCAGTTGATTCCTTTGCTTACTTTCCTCAGGTCTTCCTTATCCGAGAAGACAAACTGAAAGAAATTATTATCGAGCTCTCTAACTGCGACTGTGGTCTTTATCTGCCACATATGGGTGACGGCTCGTCTTATCCCGATCACATTGGCTTTCTTTTTCCCAAGCATTTTCCCGAATAAACTTCTGGCACACTCATCCGCACTGTGATGTATATCATCCGATGCAATAGGGAAAATGGCGTTTTCTTTGTCCGAGAGTTGAAAGGATTCCAGTTGAGACACTAGATCGTCCTCCATGACAGAATTAAGGCACAAGGGAGCACAAGGAAATCCTGAGAACCTGAAAAAGAAAGGGAAGGACACCACAAAAGCAAAGGAGAATCCGAAAGGGGAAAAGAAAACCCTAAATACAGAGATGAGAAAAGGGTAGAGAAAAGATGACAACTAACACAATTACATAGAAATGGATTGGGACCGCATAGTAAATGCCAATAATTTGAGATTATTCCTCATAAGGATGAGGGATTATACCTGGTTAAGGGAAGATTTTCGCTCAGATGAGTGGATAAGCTCTCATGGAGAGAGAATTTTACCTTCGACTCCACCTTTTAAATAAGTTAAAGTCGAACTTGCTTAAAACTTATTTAGTTATTAGAGCTCCCGCAATGCTGCACCGGATAGCCCATCTCTACTTTATTGTAGCGAAAATCTCTCTGCAATGTGGCGCCACAAATTAGGCGCTATTTTGGAGAAAGCTACAATGTTGCGCGAGATGTGGCGCAACACTGTAGCAGCGCTACATTTTTTCTAATATAATATTAATGATAAATTTTTGTATAATGTGTATTCATAAATGTATTTTTATGCTAAATAATTTTGTTGACTTTATTTTTTATACTAAATAATTTTGTACTTTTTCTTTATTGATGTATTATAATTTTATTTTGCATCTTTTAAATATTAAAATGGTACTATATAAATAAAAATTAACACATTCCAACAAGTAGACTTCATTAAAATTAAAAGTTTACAACAAACGTACATCATGAATTAAAATAAGCTATATTTTTATTATTTGAGTAACAAATATTTATATAAGATTAAATTTACCAATTTATTTGAAATAAAAAATAAATAAAAAATAATAATATATTTGATGTAGAGTAAAATGTAGGAATAAGGCTGAGATGAATGTTTAACTCTGTTGTAGAGTAAAGTCTGCGCTAGAGTAGAGATAAGGGCTGGAAATGGCCTTAGTGTGAATCGACCTGAATTTTGCTTGATAAAACTCAATAATAAGGATTTATACGTTCTTTCATTTTGTTTGAATTTACCTTAATTTGACTCGTGGATAAGTAAGTAGAGCTTCTTCTCACTTATGACTAAACAGTCGTTGAATTTACCTTAATTTGACTCGTTGATAAATAAGTAGAACTTGTTCTCACTAATATCTAAACAAGTCGAGTTCGGTTCAACTTGATGAACTCTCGTGTTCGACTTTAAATAGTAGAAGCTCGAGTTGGACTCGATTAGTTTATACTTAGGAATAATACTTAATTGATAAAATAAAAGGTGAAATGAAAACCAAAGTGTGAAACCGGGTTTCAATAAATGTGGGACACAAATTTCTGTTCCCGCAACTGCTATTTTTAGCATGTAAAGTGCTAAAAACTTTAACTCAAATACATTGAACTGGAAATGGAGTGGGGGAAAAAGAGGTATCATTACAGAAATAACAATAACAGGTCCTATTAAAATAATTAAAACTAGTTGCATTGAAGATAAGATACTATCCCTTGAAAAGAGAGAAGAAGATCTTGGCATAGAAGATCAAAGATTGAGTGATATATGGAACAAAAATGCATGTTTTCATAAGGTCGGGGCAACACTCCGGATACTGTGGCTGGCTAATTAAAACTAGTTGCATTAAAGATAAGATACTATCCCTTGAAAAGAGAGAAGAAGATCTTGGCATAGAAGATCAAAGATTGAGTGATATATGGAAAAAAAATGCATGTTTTCATAAAGTCGGGGCAACGCTCCATATACCGTGGCTGGCTAAAAAAAAAAAAAAAAGAATACATGTTTTCTAAGGTCATACTTCTATTTATATTCTCTTTAAAAATATAGTATTTTCATATAAACATAAAAATATAGTATTTCCTTTCAATATATGTGTGTATATATTTATATAATAGAAAACAATTAATTTTTAATAGAAAATAAAACTAAAATTATTTATGTAATACTAACATAATAATAAAGAATTTCTTATAATTGTTCGGTAAAATAAATTATAATATATATTCAAGATACAAAAAGTAACATAAATAGTATTTTTTAACTATTTTGTCAATAATATAAAGGTGTGTATACAAAACATTTTTTATACATTAAGTATATGAATTTTAAAGGATAAACTAGAAGACATTGTGTTCAATGTTCATGCATTATACTAAATTTTTTACTCACAACAAAAAAAAAAAAAAAAA